ATTGGGGCAAGAGATAGAGAGGAAGTAGAGAGAAGAAAGAAACTGGGCAAGTAAAGTGTTGGAGATTGGGCCAGAAAAGGCAATGGGGAGAATGAAACGATCGAATAAGGGTGAGGACGGATCCGATTTGATCGGCGGCGACAAACGGCAGTGATCTAAGCTCCGTTACAAACTTGATCGATGAAACTTACAATCTAGTCAAATGAAGTTGCCGTGTTCGGCGATGAATCGGCGAGTTGTGGACAGAATAGGCGAGCAATGGTGAGACTGACGACGATCAAGAAGGCGGTGCTGAACTTACCGGTGAGGTGGGTCTGAATTGAGCTTTTGAATCATTGACAAGATGGTGGTGAACTGATGGTTAGCACAAAAGACGGACTGGTGAGACTGACGGCGAGTAAAAAGGACGGTAGCGCTGACAATTGTGTTGCTGGCGGTGAAGCTTTTGAGTATGCTTGGAGAACACCGATAATGGACAAGGACGGCAGCCAGAGAGCTCCACAACGGCGACCAAAAGACCCTCTTCCCAAGTTGGTTTCAGCAATTCTTTCACAAAATCAATGAGAGAAACACAAAAAGCTTCAGTGTTTTTGGGTCTTGTTCACCGTTTGCTTCACTCAGATCTACTTTTGATTTTTTGTTATGTCTTGGTCCATCACTTTGAAGTTCAAGATCTATTAAGCATGAGAGGTGTTTTAAGTGTTGAATATGTTAAATTGCATGTTTAATTAAGTTGTGGTGATGATATATGACCTTGGTTGATTTATCTTTATATGCCTTTTGTTGAAATGCCATGATTTATATTTATTAGAATAAAGAACAAAGCAAGAGAAACCCCCAAAATCCCGAAATCCAAAGGGTGGTTAATTGGAACTTTGCTCCTATCAAAACGTCGGCCTTAACGCACTTATCAACTTTGCCTCAAGCGGCAAAGCCAAATTCTAAATGTACAAGTGTGGATCTTGGCTTGAATTGGTGTAAAAAGAAAAAGAAAATGGGGAGGATAGAAAGTGCCGAAATAAGAGAGTTAGAATGGGTCTGTGATGATCCTAAGTCATTTGTAATGTTTTACAATGATGACGGGTCTCACAGCTTATATATATATATATATATATATATATATATATATATATATATATATATAAATTTTCTTTTATGACCTTTATATATATATAAACACTAAAATACAATACAACTACCCATCCAAACATGTATTCACATAAATATGTATCAAATAAATATGTATGAATGTAATGGACTTGGAAAATAATCCCCATGCTCAACACTCCGGTAGCGGGTCCCATCTGGGACCTCTAGGCTCGAAAAATGAAAAAAAAATGCCGAAATGGCAACCAATGTATTTTCAAGAGTCCTGAACTCAAGAAAATGTCCCAATCAACACTCTGGCACACCCGGCACACCCCACGGTGTTCGGCACTCAAAATGAGAAAAAACAAAAATACCTTCGAAAAAAATCAGAAAATTCTAGAAAATGGAAAATGGCAAAAATAAAAAATATTACAAATACGTGGGTTACATGCGGACATTTCAATGGCTTGGACTTTGATGGCAGTATGGATGATAGCTACGATACGTTTGATGTAAGCTGTATGGGGCAAGTCTTTCACCAGCAATGGAAATCATCTTATTTTCTTGATGATAATCTGGCCGATTTCTTTCGTAACAGGGATCGCTTTCAAAAGGGGCAGGGAGTTGTTAGGAGTTCATATCAATCACATAAACCATGTTTTTGTAGAGATATAACTCAATTCAGCATAATTGAATACCCTTCCCTGCCCCTTGCACGTTTTTTTGGCTTAACAGGTTATTTTACGATTTGCTCGCAAAGTATTTGTGCGGCTTATGATTACATACTAGAGTTTTTTCTAAATCCTAAACATACATATGGTGAAGACCTAAGTACCTTATTGTGCCCAATATTAGAAACAATGAAGCAACATTTCTCAAGCTTTAAGCTTGTTTCTGGAGAAGAACTCGGGAAGGAATTATCGATTGAATTTATTAAACCTCACATGAATCAGGAGCCTGCTTCTTTTCAATGCCAAACTACATTATCTCCATCTAGACCCGGGGTCTTACAAAATGGACGAGATGATACAACCACATTTATCAAACCAACAGCTAATAGTTGAAGTTGATGATATCAACAATGACTGGGATGTTGTTGATGCGAAGCAAAACAATGGACAAGAACAAAATAATGTTCCCATTACTTATCCAGATGAGGCATGCATGAATCACGAACTCGAGTTTTCTCAATGCCAAAGTTCTATACCTCCGCCTAGGCTTGAAGTCCCACATAATGGGTAAGAGACAACACGGCCACATCCACCAAATCAGCAACTAACAGATGAAGTTAAAGTTGATGAAATCAACGATGGAAGGAATGTTAATGCAAATTCAATCGCTTATGAGGAGCTCGAAAAATATTTCGGGAAGAAACTTAAATATGTTGCACAGATTTTTGGTGGTAAGCTTATACACTAATTAAAATTGTTGTTTGTAATCTGCTGTATTTTCTACTTTTGAGTTTTCTTCTAATAGATATAATAGTTTTATTCTTTTGTACTTGCAAATTATATGAGTTTTTGTTATTGAATTCTTATTTTTGCAGTGAGCCAATCTACATTTACGCGTATATGCCGAGACAATAAAATTGATCGCTGGCCGCAGAGTAAGAGAAAAAAAGGTTGAAAACTCTCCCTCGAGACAAGAACCTCCATGTTTTGATTTGCCTACTAAGAAACTCGTGGCTCATCACATGACTCCACTTGTAAGACCACCACCAGAAGCAAAGACGATGACTATAAAGGCAACCCATGTAAATGATCTGGTAAAGTTTCAACTACCTTTTTCCATCAAGAATGGTGGAGTTAGAAGAGGAAGTCTCCAAGAGGTTGAAGTTCCATGTTGAAACTTATAAGATCAAATATACAGATGATGATGGCGATCGGGTTTTAATAGCCTACGACAGAGACTTGCAGGATTGTATGAATGCTTCCAATTTATTGGGCATGATTACAATCAAAATGTTCATTGAGTCAATTAACATAATATCTCATTCAACCTAACTACTTGTGCATGTATGCTCCTAACTATGTGTTGATACCAAGTAATCAAATTATTCTTCAGTATGTATTTATGTATTTTTTTCTTTTCACCAATAAATATGTCTCAGTAGTTTCTATGTCCTAACTTCCCATTTTGTTCTCTAATATTGTTGGGTCTTCTACTTGTGCAATTTTGTATTTCAAAGTTTGCAAACATTTCAGAGTCTAAAATATATATATCTTTTTTGAAAGGTTATTTCAGATTCTAAATTAATTTTTTCATTCACTGAGATAATTACTTGTTGCAGATATACTTCCATTGATTATAAGGTAGGTAGGCACAATGACCATGGAAGCTCAATTTGACCCAATGAATCACATCGACCTTTTTTTTAAAGGTAAGATGTGCCACTAAACTACAACACTCTTGGGTTATTCTGTAAATTTAGTTGTTATGCAACCAAAATTGAGCCACAAACGTCGGTTTTCACAAACTTCGATTTTCTTAAACATTATTTCAAAAGCTAGAGGTTTAAAATTGCTAATAAAGCATTGGAATTCTTAAATTCTAAATATCATAAAATCATAAAAGGCTTTAGTTTTTTTTTTTAGAGTTCATTTTTAGACAGGGTGGTGCTTTAGAAATTATTAAATGGTCTGAGATGATATAATTTTGGTCAAGCACAACTTGCCATGCAACAATAAAAAAATGAACAAAACTAACACAATTAGTTGTGTGACAATCAGAACCACAGTCTCCGCACCCAAGATGCCTTCAATTTAAGATTCTTTTACAAAGAAAGGAATTTATTTTTCCAAGTTTTGTCTTATGTCATTCTATAGAGAACTCAACTTAGGATACCTTATAATTTGAATCATAAAAAATTTAATTAAAAGTTTTAATTTATTTATTTTGGATCTCAATTTTGATGTATTGATTCAATGCTCCTAAACGTAACATTATTACCTTCTTTTTTATTTAGTTGCATTAGTGGTCGGTTTAATTTTAAGTCCTCATAATCAAGGCAAGAATGAATTTGCAGAAAAAAATAATTCTAGTTTTTCCACTCGTTCGAGCCATTAGGCCGGCCCAGCAAGCCACTGCTAGAAATAGTTGGACTTTTTGGGCTGAAATCAGTTTTAGCACATACTCACTAAAAACCCATCAACCTATGGGCCGGAAGCCCAGATTGTTGCTAACAAATAACAATATGCTTTTCCATGTTTAAAATCTGATCCTCCCACTTTCATAATGTAGAAGCATTTGATAATTGGTACTTAGGGCCTCTTGGACAATTTTTTTGTTTTGTGTTTTTTTATTACGGGTGGTATAGCGTAACGAAGTAAAAATACCTGGTAATTTTTTTTTACAATCTGAGTAGTATAAGTGTAGGACTGTATGTTGCGAAATAGAACTTCAAATTGAAAACACCAAATTTATCATGCTTCTTAATGTTTTAGCACTGCACCGAAGGGAAAAAAAAAAGGCTGAAGAAGTGAATAGTATAAAAAAAAAAAAAAAAAAAAAAAAAAAATCTCTAAGTGGTCTTTTCTAAATGGCAATTTTAGTCTTGCAACACTCATATATTTTTATTTAAAAAAATCTTACAACAAATTAATCTTTTTAAAAAAATATATAAAACAGAAATGATTGCCGAGTACCCTTCTCATAGTTTATATGTATAAATACTGTAGCTAGTAATTTGTTATTTTCAGGAATTTTTATTTTTATTTTTCATGTTTGGTAGAATGATTTGTAATCCTTGCCTTTTTGTGCATAAAGAGATACATTTATGTTTTTTAAAAATAAACTAATACTACGTACTTCGATATATATATATATATATATATATATATGAAGGAACATCCATTCAATCAATCAAAAGGCCAAATTACAATATCAAGCCTAGCAAGATAGCAACCACAAACTTTTTTCATTTTTGCGCCTTGAGTTTTGAATTTCTCCGTGGGGCACCTTCTCCAACTTTCTAGACCAATCTCGCTCTCTCTCACTCTCCAAACGAAGTCTACTTCTGCAACTCAACAATGCTCCCTGCCAACTTCAATTCATTATTCACTTCCAATCAATGGCCACTCTTTTCACTACTCCATACTCTTGCTCTTCATGGGCTCTCCAGAAAACCCAAAATCACATGCCTTCTACTCCTCTCTTCAAACACCCATTTGCCCAAAAAAACCACCTCTCATCTTTCCTCTTTTCCAGGCAAAAACCCAAAAGACACTGCAAATTTTCTGTCAAAGCTGAGCAAGAAAATGAAAACCCTTCTACTTCTTCTTCTTCGGTTGCCGTAGTTTCAGAAAAAGATGATACCCAGAAGAGGGATTTGTCTGCAGAGGGTGAATTGGAGAGAAAGGGCGAGTCTGAATCTGAAGAGAGAGAGAAACAGCAAGAACTGGATTGGAAGACTGACGAGGAGTTCAAGAAATTCATGGGTAATCCTTCGATTGAGGCTGCAATAAAGCTCGAAAAGAAGAGGGCTGATAGGAAGCTCAAAGATCTTGATAGAGAAAGTAGTGATAACCCAATTGTGGAGTTCTTAAATAGAGTGGTTCGTGACAGTTTGGCCAGAGAGAAAGAGAGGCTAGAGAAAGCAGAGGAGACATTCAAGGCTCTTGATCTCAACAAGGTGATTGCTTCTTTCTCATGTTCATATAACATACAATTGAATTAACACACATTTCATATAGTACACTATATATATATAGTTTGGGTGTTTGTATCTATTTGTATATGTGTATATGTACATGCTGGTTTTATAGTTTTTTGGGTTGCATTCTATGGCAAGGAATTGAAACATGTCTAATTTTGTGTGGGTTTTGAAATGACATGGTGTTTGTATCTATCTGTGTTTCTGAATATGTAACATGTTGGTTTTGTGGTTTTTTTGGGGTTGCACTATATGCCAAGGAATTCAAACATGTGTAATTTTGAGTGGTTTTTGAAATGACAGTTAAAGAACTGCTTTGGGTTTGATACATTTTTCGCAACCGATGTCAGGAGATTTGGTGATGGGGGAATATTTATTGGGAATTTGAGGAGGCCCATTGAGGAAGTCGTACCCAAATTGGAGCAGAAGCTATCTGAAGCAGCAGGGAGGGAGGTTGTCCTGTGGTTCATGGAAGAAAAAACTGATGACATTACAAAACAGGTACTAGATTACATTTGTGTCTTTTTTATTCATTTTGAATTGATTGTTCAGTGTTTCAGAAAGCTATTTAATGATACAGGTATTTTTGTTATATCTACAAGTTATTCATCAAACAATTAATGTTACTAAGACCATCCTCTTCTCTCCACATGCTGTTCTTGAGGACCTTTACTCATTACTGAATGGCATGTTTATTGAATAATGTAAATAATCAACAAAATGAACCATAGCACATCGGCCATATAATCTTGTATCAACTGTAGCATCATGATGCTAAGTGCTTGTAGCCATATTCCCGTTGGTAGAGTGCTGTCTCGCAGCAAAAGGTTGTTTGTAAATGCCATTTGCTAAAAAATGAGGGAACTTTGACATATAAGTAATCATTGGAAGGTTTAAAATCCAAGGGGGCAGGTCAATTTTCTTGTAGTCTATGTTGCCTGAAATTGTCTTTCTTGTGTCAATTCAATCTCAAGTTTCACTCACTCGCTTAAAGTAGTTAAACTTTGTCCACGTGCAAATGAAACACAAACATGTTCTTCTTATCTTTTGAAATTTCTATGTTTGTTAATATCTTACAATTGTCTTAACGACACTATTTTTTTTTCTTCTAATTTCTATCTTTTAAGGTTTGTATGGTGCAACCCAAAGCAGAGATGGATCTCCAATTTGAATCAACGAAGCTGAGCACTCCTTTGGGTTATGTTAGTGCAGTAGCTTTATGTGTTACAACTTTTGGTACAATTGCGTTGATGAGTGGCTTCTTCCTTAAGCCTGATGCTACATTTGATGACTACATAGCTGATGTTGTGCCTCTCTTTGGCGGCTTCCTTTCCATTTTGGGAGTTTCTGAGGTAAGTTTACCTGCACTAGTCCATAAATTATTAAAATTTTCGAAATTCAGTTCAAATTTGTCCGATTTTCAGTTTGATTCAGTTATCCATGTGCCTCAATCACAATTACAACCACGTAAACCAGTAAAAATAAAGAAAACCTGAAAAATGCTAGAAAGGAAAAAACCATGGGACCCTCGGTCTAGGCACAGACAATCCATTTGCTTGATTCTAATCCTAGAATCACCTAGTTACCTCAAATCCAAACTCATGCCAAATGTTCCTGCTCGACCTACAATCTTGCTCACCCAGTAGTCTGCTCTCCAAGGTTGTTCAATCCTTTGTTCTTCTCAGAAACACCAGCTTAATGTTTTGTAGAATAGTCTCTGGTCGACTCCTTACTTAAAATCACGCAATCACATATGATATGTTAATCTATAAAAACACTAGATAGATTTTTCAAAGTTTTCTCCCTTTAAAACATATGAAATCCCTCAATAATGAAAATCCTAGACTGAATATAACCCCATATTTATACCCAACATACAAGTCCTGTGTGAAATAGGAAGATTAAACCTTTCAAGATTTTGATTTTTGTAAGCCTCCAAAACTGATCCTAGTCAAACGCTGTCCGCAATTTGACCGTCAGGTTTGATTGATTGAGCTATCGATTATTGCTCTCTGGAGTTGGTTTGAGTGATGTCCAATCGATCCATTAATGATCGAATTTCATTGTTTTTCAATTAAAACCTGTTCAAATATGTTCAATCGATTCATTATATTTTGATCGATCGATGATTTTTAGTTTTGAAAAACTTGTTTAAACATTATTGTAAGCCTTCTAAAGATCAAACCTAGGTCATGGTTATGTTCTCATATGACCTACAAACTAATAAATTTTTTCAACCCAAATTCCCCTGTATTTTTAAGTTCTCATATTACCTTAACCTAGATTTGTGAGGATGAAAATGTCGGCACATTCTTTGTTGTTTTTCATATTCATTCTTTTCTTTGGTTGTAGTCACGTAGACTCAAGATATATTGTTCAATCTTACAACCCTAGTTTTGTGTAGGAATTAAGGTAAGCTTGTTTGCAACAGAAGATATTTGAAATTTAAATGCTTTTGAACATTTAAAGATACCATTATTTTGTATATGTAATATTTCATAAACATAATAGATAGATGCTTGTTAGGAATGGGCATTTATAGATCAATCGGGTGTTAGAAACTCTGATGGACACATGTCGTGGGTTGGATGGCTGAACATAAAACTTCAAAGTGGAGCAATCAACCAAGAGCGTCGATTCCAGTGGATGGTAGTTGCATTTTAACATTCATAGTAAAAAGATCAGTTTAAATTGACTAAGGAAGTGAGCTTGGCACCATGAACATAATGTAAAACTAATTAATATAAAAATATAGAAGGAAGATCGACCCTGCTTGTTTTGTCCGCTCTTGTATTCATATAGAGGCAAGCACTCAAGTTCACTCTGCATTGCTGGAAATTTTCTAAGTTCATATGTTAACTAGGTTTCTTATTTTGTAGAGTTTGTTTTTAAGAAAGTTCTTGTTAGGATTTATTTGGCTTCTAAAAAATTCCTATTCCATGTCTAACGAAAAACTTGGATGAGTGACTCTATAAGTAGGTGTCTAGATGATCAGTTGAGAGTTATGAGAGATTCTCAAATCATGAGAGATGCTGACCTGTGAGTGTAGTACGGAATTTATAGAGGGTTTAAGTGCACTTAACAACCGTCTGGTATCCTTACAGTGCATATACACCCCGTGATGTTCAATAAACACCCTCAAGTTTAAAAAGCATGCAAATAAAGACCTCCTAAATACCCTTACAGCAAACATTTCTTACATTATTTAAAAAAAGATCCAAATGACCAAATTAGACATCCCCCCCCCCCCCCTCCTCCTTCTCCCTCTCTCTCTCTCTCTCTCTCTCTCTCTCTCTCTCTCTCTCGCTGAATACATCAAGGCGTGGGACTAGAGGTTCTGATGGTGATATTAAACATTATATGCATTAGTTACAATCAAAATGGATTCAATTCCTCTATATTATGGTATTACGATTGATGTTCCATCTAATTATCTTAATTGATAAGTTTTCATTAAACATATTTCATTCATTATTAAAGTTCATTGTTATTACTATATCTTTGAACAACTCTTTGTTCACCACTTAATTGTTTTTACTCTTGGTATGTAATGTTGCTATGCATGGTGGCCTTTTCTTTTTGGGGCTTCTCTTTTCCTACAAAAGCTCTTGCATGCATGCAGGCTCATTTCTGATCAGATTTTCACATAAACCCAAAACTGCATAACCTAACAGATTTGAACCGTTGTCTTGCTGTTCGGATTGGTATGGGTTAAGCATTTTTCTCGGTGCGGTTCATTTCTGGGGATGGGGGTTGAGCATTTATGAATTATGAACTCACACTAATGCACTATTATTTTTGTCTATACATAATCTCATCAATAAACTTCTGTTTCAGAGAAGAAAGAATCATGGCAATTGCTCCCGAATTAGCCTTCAAAATTTTCTTCCAAATCTTTTTTCTTTTTTTCATTTTATTTTTTATGCTGCCACTGATCCCAACGAAGCCTTGTGGAGAGAGAGAGAGAGAGAGAGAGAGAGAGGGAGGTTAAAAGGGAAACTTTATATAATGAATTAGCAAGTGGGCATTTTCGGAATATCAAAAGGGTAAAAATGAAATAATATTTATTCTATGTCACAGGTCACTGAAAATGGTTTGAGGGGGGTATTCACACATTTTTTTCAAAATTAGGGATTGACACAACTCATTTTAGAAAGTAGGGGGTGATTGTGCAATTTGGAGTACACTAAAGGGGTGTGAAGTGCACTTAACCCTTTGTAGAGATGTGAAGGAGAGATGGGGAAAAACTCGAATCAGAAATGAGAGTCTTGGGCACTGAGAAGGGAACCAAATAATACTTCAGGGTTTGAATGCTGTTTAGAAGGTAAACATGATTAAGTTCAGGGTCTCAGATTATTATTATTATTATTTTTTCGCCTATATGATTTATTTAAAGTACAAATTTATATCTTATCATCTATAGGTATAACAGGGTTTTCGAAAAGCGATGCTAAGTGTTGGGATCTTGCATGTGTGATGCTTTGTTGACTAGCATTATATTGGATCTCACTGTGGGTGTGATTTAATGCAGCACCAACAAGTAGTAGTAGAGCTTTTGTACTTAATGTTGATTGTACACTGTCATCCAATGTTGACATGCTCAGGGGGGAACAGAACTCATGAGCATTAGGTTTGTGCCACCAATTTTAGTAGAAATTCCTCAAGATTTCCCATGTAAGATGTAAGTCATCCTTTTTTCTGATTGATGGCAATAAGCATTGAACCCCTAAACCAGTCCAGTTGTTTTAGATGTCATGTTGCTACATTTTAACTGGCTATGCTATGTCTTTGGTATAAGATGTAAACCATTCATAAGGTAAATGTTTCTTGTTGGCACTCTGATCAGTTGAATTAGTGAAGCCCAGCTCTCCTAAAAGGGGAGGCAGAGGCTAGACACTAAAACACCAGCAAGGATTTGTTCCTTGCTGAACTTTTAGCTATGGGATCACTAGAGTTATCTCAGTAAGTCTATTTCAACGCTTGTTTCTTGATATTTTTGGTGTAGGTTTTCAGATGAGATATCCAGCTCGATCTATTCCTTTTGTAGTAGCTAATCAAAGAGTAATAATCTCATCTCTTTAAAAGTTGCATGTTCCCTGCTTCATAATTTCTAACCTTTTTAGCCATGCAACTTGGTGATTTTCAGGAATTTTTAATTTACTGTATGAAGTTTATATGTAGACACTGTACATGATAACTCACTGTAGTATTGGAGTAAAATGACTCAAAACTATTCCATGCTTTTGTTTGACTAACCTTTTACAAATTACAAGTGACAATAATTATCTAGTGGTTTTAGAATAGAGCCCAATTTAATTTTTGAGTGAATTTAGGTTTTATATGTTGTTTTACATGGATGCTTGGTTCTCGGTACATATTAATAGAATTGTTTGCTGCCTCATATAATTCTGTGTTTAAGAATAGCAAGGGAAAGCTATTGAAAGTTGAAACTATCAACTAATGACATTGGCAAGTTAGTTCAAAGTTGGCATGTAAAAATTGAACAAAGTTGGCATGTAAAAATTGAACATCAAAAGCTTATGGCCGTGCAGTCTCAAGGAGTCATATTCTTTTCCTGGTTTGATTTGCATGTGATCCATTTTCAGCATTCATAAAAATAAGTGTCAAATTGCAAAGTTTTAGTGATAAAGACCGTGTCATGTTGTCACGATGATTCTAAGAAACTCCTGCATCTTTCATGTATTGAATGCTTGAAGTTTCCATTTCATTTATGGAACGTTCACTGGTTTTACGCTTTGCAGATAGCCACAAGGGTTACGACAGCTCGTTACGGTGTTAAGCTCAGCCCATCTTTTCTTGTGCCCTCTAATTGGACGGGATGCTTGGGCGTGATGAACAACTATGAGTCTCTGTTGCCAAATAAAAAGGCTCTTTTTGATATTCCAGTGGCACGGACAGCTAGTGCATACCTGACATCGCTAGTACTTGCAGTTGCTGCATTCGTGGCTGATGGCAGCTTTAATGGGGGTGACAATGCATTGTAAGTTTTCTTTAATGCCCTGTCAGATAATTCTCTCTTATTCCAAATTAGTAAATTTTTTCACCGGCATCTTTTTTGAAGATTTCCAAATCTCTGTTGCCGCTGGTAAGTCAATCATGAGCTTCAAAGAATAGAGAGGAAAATAAAATCTGTTTTATATGCCTACCGTATGCAAATGTTATGTGCATATTTGTATTTGTATATATGTATTTTGACTTGTTTGGTTAAGGAAGAAAACAAGTACTATAATTTTTGGCTTTTCCACCGTAAAGTTATTCTCTCTTTTGCAGGTACATACGGCCACAGTTCTTTTATAATAACCCTTTGCTCTCTTTCATCCAATTTGTTATTGGACCATATACGGATGATCTTGGAAATGTATTACCTTATGCAGTTGAAGGTGTGGGAGTTCCTGTTGATCCCCTTGCTTTTGCTGGACTCTTAGGTGAGTTTCTTTGCCTTGTACCTATTTTTTTATTTGGACTGAGACAATAACCTTAAATAGAGCAAAATAGTGAAACATGATTTATGTAGCCGACCCCAAATAATTGGGAAACGGCTTCCTTGATTCGAGTTCTAGTAGCTGGGATAATCTACTTCACAAGCTAAGTCCCACATTTACGGGTCTAGAATCCAGATTTTATGAATGGAACCCTCTTGTTTAAATTCAACTGCTACTTCTAAAACATGAATTCTTGGCTTGGCTTGACTCTGTTGTTGATTCAGCCTCATAAATCCAATCTTTACTGAAAGAATATCTAGCCTGATTCGGTGTTTGGTTGAGGGATGACAATAACTGAATCCTGAACAACTATTAGTATTGACAAGCAATTAAATTAAATCTAATTGAGCTTAGACAGGTCGGTTGTATTGAATTTCAAATAAAGTTGCAGACAAAGAAGCAAGTAAAAATAATTGAACCCACTCTGATGACTGAAATAGTGACATAATAATCCACTGCTAAAACTTGCTGATGTCCGAATTGAACTGCTCAAGCAGTTAATAGGTAAAACCCTGTTTGAATTACAGTTCCCGTTTGATATGTTTGCTAAAACTAATCTCCTTCTGTAGCCTTTCCTCTTGGTAAATAGACTCTTTTATCTAAAATTTTAGGCATTGGTAGCCTAGAAATTTTGATCCATATATTGACTGCCTTGATCTCAATCTTCTATAGGCATGGTGGTTACTTCTCTGAACTTGTTGCCATGTGGAAGACTTGAAGGAGGCCGCATAGCGCAAGCAATGTTTGGAAGAAGCACTGCCAGTTTGTTATCTTTTGGCACTTCTTTCCTGCTCGGCATTGGCGGCCTGAGTGGAAGCGTCCTTTGTTTGGCATGGGGGCTTTTTGCAACCTTCTTCAGAGGCGGAGAAGAAGTACCGGCGAAGGATGAGATCACCCCACTGGGAGACGACAGGTATGCGTGGGGTTTCGTCCTCGCCCTCATCTGTTTCCTTACCCTTTTCCCAAATGGAGGAGGGACATTCTCCAGCTCCTTTTTCAGTGATCCATTTTTCAGAAATGATTTGTAAATAGGATAGTTGTATGTATTGTTGTGTATTATACATAACCTCTACATGGTTCAGTTAGAGGCTGTACTTAACCAGTTGTATTATTATGTAATCATAACCTCTCCATGTTTAAGTAGAGACTACTTCACCAGTTTCAACTCTACCAAAATAATGTAAAAATACATATAGATGTTGTAAATGGGAAGAAACGAGTCTCTGGTTCTCCATTTCAGAAGACGACGTAAATTGCAGTAGTTGCTCTTTCTCAAATCGAAAATCAAGGAGTTTAATTCCTGTTTCTAGTTTAAAATTTTGCTTCTGCTGGAAACCAAAACAGACCATGAATTTATGTAAATTATGCTTGTTATAAGAGGAGAACCTCACTCCGCAAAAGATATTGATGCAATCGGCAAACATCAAGATTTAAATAGGGTAAGTTTTTCATGCAAACTGGGAAAATTACAATTTTCATACAAGGGATGGGACAAAATTTATCATTACAAAATTTGGTCAAGGAAGCAAAACATGTTGAGCAAGTTGTAAATTTTGCCGGTTTGGTTAGTGTTTTTGCTTTGTATTTTTTACTTTTGCTAGTGTACTGTAGCGAAGTAAAAGCACGAAATATGTTTAGTAATATTTGTTGTGCTTTTAAATAGTATTGAAACGCTTCCAAAATTAAGGCCAAAATTAGAAGCATCAAAATAATACTTTCGTTTGCTTCCGCACTGTAGCAAACCATTCAAACAAAAAAAAAAAAAAAAAAAAAAAAAATAATATTTTTAACTAATCATTCAAAATATCAAACTTGTAATACTTTTTACCAAAAACACTTTCATGTTTTTACTTCTAAAAATTTGTAACAAATTTACGTTACCAAATAAGCTTCTAAATAGTGTTGAACACACCCTAAAAGCAGAAATATTACTTCTGTTTGGGATCAAAGCAAAAGCACAAAACAACTATGATTGCTAAACACAAGGGCGGAGTCAGAATTTTATTTCAGAGGGGTCACAATGCACTTGTTATAAAAAAAAAAAAAAAAAAAATTAATAAACATGACAAATAGGAAGTATAATGTTTTTAAATCAAAAAGGCAAATAAGAAAAAAATAGTTGTAAAATAATATGCTAAATAAATATTGTAAAAAAAATATAGTTACAAATATAAGAATCAAAATATTAATTAATAATATTTTAATTAAGTAGAATCACAAATGTCATCGATAAAAAGAAATAAGTTTAAAAAAATAAAAAAATACATTATACATAAGTGAAAGAAGAAATTTTTTTAAAAAGGAAACAAAAATTAGAAAAGGAAAAATATATTGTAATCCTTGAAGAAGGGATATATGTAACTTTTTTTTTTTTTTTTTTAAAAGGAAATTAGAAGAATTTGAAAATTTGAGGGGAACACTATTTAAAATTACCATGTAAGTATATGTATATATTAAAAATATGTACGTATATATAATAGATTGGAGCTGGACCATAATTGGCTCTGCCCCTTCCTAAACAGATACATACTCGTATTCTTTTTTAATGTACCAAGCTTAAATTTTATTATTTTCACCCATTCTCTCTTGACGGACTCTGAAATAAATTTACTCATGAAATGACATAATTTATCAGGTAGGTGTTTTACGAAATGTAGTTAAATTACAAGAATACCCTCAGTTCGATTCAACGCTGTGAGATCACCAACAATGGACGGTACCGGTTGAAACCATACAGCTTCCATTTTATACAGCAGGGATACAAAGCTACACATGATTATTACTCAAGACTTGATTTCTTTTCATATTCTTCGTCAACAAGTAAAACTCACAGCGACCACACAACAATCCATTTTTTCAAATCAAAACTCTCTTCGCTTCATCTCACCCAAATTCTCTATTGAATTCCCAAATTCACACCATGAAACTGAGGCTGAGATCACTTGAAACCAAAGAAACCCTAAAAATCGAAGTCCTCAATTCATCCTCTCTCCAAAACCTCAAAGATGTCATTCTTCAGAGAATTTCTTCTTCTTCATCTTCCATACACCTTTCTCTTAATCGGAAGGACTCTATTCTAGGTTCATCTCAAGACTCTCTTCAGTCTCTAGGTATCACATCTGGCGATCTTATCTTCTACACGCTCAACCCTAATGGGTTTTCCTCAGAGACAGAAACCCTAACACCCCAATCCCAGGCCCCTCAAAAACCCAATTCAGAGCACCCTCAGAATTCACAGAAAACCCCAACAACAGAAACCCATTTCCAGGAAGAACAAGGGGTGAATACTGAAAACCTAGGTAAAGAAGAAACCCTAGAATTTGAATCTGGGCAGGCTCAGATTCAACCTGAAGAAGATAAAAATTCGGTTGTATCTGGAACTGAGTACATGGATGTTGATGATGATGGGTCTGTGGCTGAAGAGGGGAGGTCTGTGCCTTGTTTTCTGAGGAAAGTGTTTGGGAAAGAGGTGGTTGGTGATGGTGGTGGTTATCAGCTCTTGGTGATTGCTGTTCATGCTGTTTTGCTAGAGTCTGGCTTTGTTAGAGTTGACCCTGTCTCAAAATTGATTCTTGATGGGTTTAATCCCGCCGAATGGCCTTCATCTTCGTTCAAGATGGTAATTTCATACACTCTTCCTGAGATTATTGATAATGTGAGATCTGTTGAAACTGTTGTATTGAAGTTTGTGAGTTTAGGGAAGTTTCTCAACATTTATGGATTTCCTGGCTCTTATCAAGTGTACCTGGACAAAGAACGCTTGGTTCCGTTCTTGAATGTTGTGTGGGCGAATTGTGGTTCCTTTGAGGAATTGAATGGAAAGGATTTGTATTCTGATACATACCCTGAAAAGGAGGTGTTTGAATTTTGGAAGATCATAAAGGATAAAATTGCATTGCCTCTTCTAATTGATTTATGTGAGAAGGCTGGTTTGGCACCTCCACCTTGCTTTATGCGCTTACCCACTGACCTTAAACTTAAGATTTTGGAGTCACTGGCCGGTGTTGATCTTGCTAAAGCGGGATGTGTATGTTCGGAGCTGCTCTATTTGTCCTCGAACGATGATTTGTGGAAGCAGAAGTTTGTGGAGCAGTTTGGCAATGTGGAAGGATCACATGGAGGGAGCCATTGGAAAGAGAAGTTTGCCAAGTCTTGTGAGAGTAGGAAAAGGAGAAAGATGGGTTTGAAATATTTTCGGAGGCTTCCCTATCCATCTCTTTTGCCTGTTAGAAGAGACCCTAATCCATTGTGGGTTCCAAGAATTATAGGTGGTGATTATGATCTCTTGCCAGATGTTGGCATCCCACAACCTGGCCGAGCCTTTCCTCATTTTCCAGCGCTGCGGAAATTCAGGCTTCATTGTGATTTGAGAGGACTGGAACCTGGGAGTTTGAACGACCCTTGATCATGGTTGAATGCTGATTCCAAGTCCATTTGGAGGTAGTACAATGTATATGCTATTAAGGTTTGTTTTTTTTGTTTTTTTTGTTTTGGTGTGTGTGTGTCTATTACAAGCATAAGAGACAGTCAGGAACATGTCTTGTTTTGAATAATTTATATGGTTTTCAATATGTATATAGATGATCGTCAACTGTTGTTGTTGCTTTATATGTTTGTTGCTTTTTGCCTTCTATCTTCTGCTTTATGCAGTTGAGTTGATGTCGTGCTTGTGCTAGTCTTTCATGGCCATTATGTTTTGAACTGATCGATTTTGTTCATATGCAGTCTGATCTGTGCATTTGTTTACATGTTTGCATTTTGAATAAAGTTTAATGTGATGGTGGTCTTATCATTAGCCACGATGCTTTGTTTTATGGCAACAAATAGATTCAGTAAAAACCTTGGTGGGTAGATGTTTAGCTTTTGATGTGTTCCCCTTTGAACGCTTTCTATTGATACTTTACTTTAAAAAAAAAAAAAAAATTCGGTGATAGATGTTGCAATTATGTGCAATCAATTAAAGGAAAGGAGGAAAAATGTGTGCAAATTGGTGAAATGTCTAGTTATAGGATTCCAACGGTAGTAAGTGATATGAAACTAAAAGTATTACACTGCCAAAGAATAAAGCAATTCTTTTGGTGTAATGAGGCCTGCATATCTTCATGGAAGAAACAGAAACTTCCATATTAATAAATTTGAAAGTAATTATTGCTTACACAAAAGTTTGAGGTGTGAATAACTGAAGTATCACTTGTTTGGCACTTGTATTGGTGATTGAACTATAATAGAGATGAGAAAATTTAAAAACAATTCATTTCTATTGTCTTCTGACATGGCTGTAACATGGTTATTACTAAAAGCTAAGTGAACACCTGATTTTCGTAGATTAGAATAAGGTGACTCAGTGTATATAAGCTAGTTATGTGTAAATATTCTTTCTTTCTTCAATTTAACCTAATCCGAGGGTTGAGGCATGCACAACACAAGCTGGTTTTTGCATGTATAATGACTTCAATTTAACCTAATCCGAGGGTTGAGGCATGCACAACACAAGCTGGTTTTTGCATGTATAATGACTCCTCTTAGATTCAGTTCTTACATCTGTGTTTCTCATTTCAATACACCACAGCATGAACCTTTGAGTGGAGTCTAGCATTAAAATCCGTATGTCCATTCCATTTGCATGTTGATTTAAACTAAGACAGACTTTAATCTCTGGTTCTCCATTTCAGAAGATGTTGTAAGTTGTTTTCATTCTTAAAAAAGGAGAAAAGTAGTTTTGTAACAACGTTGGTTTGTCTCTCTCAGATTCTTAGCAGCCTAATGCGTGGGAGGAAACCATGTTTATTCCCTTGAGCTTCAGTTTCTGTAATTTTTTTGGTATATGGATCTCTCTTTTTCTCCTTCCTTCTTTGTATTCAGTTTCTGCAATTTGTATGGTGTATGGATCTCTCTTTTTTCCTTCTTTTTTTGTTCTACTTTGATTGTCACAACATGAAAATAAGCATTTCAATTGCTCTTTCTCAGATCAAAACTAAAAGTTGCACTTCTCTATCTAGTTTAAAATTTTGCTTTTGCTGGGAACCAAAACAGACCATTACTTATGTAGATTATTAGAGCAGAACTTCAGTTTACAAAAGATACTGATGCCATTGGGAAACAGCAAGATTGACATCTTCACATAATCAATAAAAGAGAGTTTATCTGTGCTGCATCTCTTTATTGAATATATATGCAAAAAACCAAGTGTTAAGGTAGTGCATTCTAGTGTAGCTGTGGGTATGTACTGAATCTGTTAGCCCTCGCACCAAAAATAGTGAACCATAAGTTCATAGGGCTTACACACCTCTACAAGTGTTTCTGAGTTGTGTTTGCAAACAACACTCCTTAATTTAGGAAGTTGAGGAAATACTCAACTCTGTATTTTACTGTGCTCAAACTGCTTATTCTTTTATTTTATTTTATTTTATTTTATTTTTAAATTTCTACATGTAAAAATATATTGAAAATATCACTAATAGATTTTAATTATTACACCTCTTCCATACACCTTTCTCTCAATCGGAAGGATGACTTTCAGGGTTCATCTCAATACACTCTTCAGTCTCTTGGTATTATCTCTGGTGATCTTATCTTCTTCACTCTCAACCCCATTGGTTTTCCTCAAAAATGCTAACAGTCCAATCCCATACCCACCCACCCTCAAGAACTCAATTCAGAACTCACTCTGAATTTACAAAAAAACCCAGCCATAGTGACCCATTTCCAGAATGAACAAGTATTGAATATTGAAACCCTAGGCAATAGATTTTGAATCTGGGAACAGTGAGATTAAACCCGAGGAAGATAAAAACTTGGGTGTGTCTGGAACATAGTACATGGATGTTGATGATGATCTGTCTGTGCTTTGTTTTCTAAGAGGAATGTTTGGGAAAGAGATCATTGGTGATGGTGGTGGTTATCAGCTTTGGTGATTGTTGTTCATACTGTTTTGCTTGAGTTGGGCTTTGTTAGAGTTGACCCTGTCTCAAAAATCATTGTTGATGGGTTTAATCCCGACGAATGGACTTCGTCTTCTTTCAATATGGTGCTTTCAGACATTCTTCCTGAGATTTTATGTCAGGGTGTTCTGCTGAAAATGGAAATGGAATTGTAACTGTTGCATTGGAGTTTGTGAGTATAGGGACGTCTCTCATCATTTATGGATTTCGTGGGTCTTATCAACTGTACCTGGACAAAGACCGTTTGATTCCATTCTTGAACGTTGTGTGGGCAAATTGTGGGTCCTTGATGAAACGAATTGAGAGGATTTGTACTCTGATACAAACCCTGGAAAGGAAATGTTTGAATCTTGTGTAGGCGAATTGTGGGTCCTTGATGAAACGAATCGAGAGGATTTGTACTTTGATACAAACCCTGGAAAGGAAATGTTTGAATCTTGGAAGATTGTGAAGGATAAAATTGCATTGCCTCTCTTAATAGATTTATGTGAAAGGCTGGTTTGGCATCTCCACCGAGCTTTATGAGCCTACCCACCAACCTTAAACGGTGTTGATCTTGCTAAACTGTGATGTGTATGTTTGGTGCTGCTCTTTTTGTCGTTTGTGGAAGCAGAAGTTGTGTAGCAGTTTGGCAATGTGGAAGGATCACCAGGAAGTGGTCACTGGAAAGAGAAGCTTGTTAAAGTCTTGGGTGTGTAGGAAAAGGACTTGTCCACCTCTTATGGGTGTGAGAAGAGACCCTAATCCGTTGGGGGGTTCCAGGATTTTTAGGTTGTCATAATCACCACTTGCCAGTCTTGCTAGTTCTTGCCATCCCCCCACCACCTGGCCGAGTCTTTGGTGATTATGACCGCTTGCCACCTGGCCAAGCCTTTGGTGATTATGATCGCTTGCCAGTTCTTGCCATCCCACCACCACTTGGCCAGGCTTTGGTGTTTATGACTGCTTGTTAGTCTTTCCGGTTCTTGCCATCCCACCACCACCTGGCCGAGCTTTTGGTGATTATGACCACTTGCCAGTTCTTGCCATCCCACCACCACCTAGCTGAGCCTTTCAACATTATCCAGCACCTCAGAAGATCATAGTTGAATGCTTACTCTGAGTAACTTTGGAGGTAGTACAATGTAGATACTATTAAGTGCTTTTGTTAGGTCTCTTGCTAGAAGAAGAGAGTCAGTAACATGTCTTGTGTTAAATATTTTATTTGGTTTTTGAATATTTATGTGGATGATCTCTGACTATTGTCATTGCTTAGTATCTTTGTTGTTTTGTGCCTTTCTATCTTCTGCTCACTTTGGTTGACAACCATTCTATTCGTCTTCGTGTTAAGTTTTTGGTGGGAGCAATTTGCCACTTCCTACTAGACGGGTGTCTCACATAGTGGATAGTCTTCCATCACAGTAGATAAGGCCCTCCTAAGTCCCCATCACAGTAGGTCTGACTAGAAGAGTGTCTCACATAGTGGATAGTCCCCCATCATGGTAGATAAGGCCCTCCTAAGTCGCCATCACAGCAGGTAAGACCATTCTCCCCAAGTCCCCATCGCAGCAGGTAAGACCATTCTCTTCCTCTTCGTGTTAGGTTTTTGGTGGGAGCAATGAAATAGACATTGCGACATCCGACTATACGGGTGTCTCACATAGTGGTAAGTCCCCCATCACAGCAAGTACAGCCCTCCCAAGTCCCCATCACAGCAGGTAAGACCCTCCAATCGGGTGTCGCGAAGTTTTGAATTTTCCTTTTCATGGCCATTTGTTCACATGTAGTCTGATGTGTGCATTTGTATACATCTTGGCGTTTTGAATAAAGTTAGTTTAGTGCGAAGGTGCTCTACATCATTAGCAATGATGCTCTTTTTTTATGGCAGCAAATAGATTCAGTAATATTTACCCAAAAAAAAAAAAATTCATTCAGTAAAAAAAATTCATTCAGTAGATGTTGCAATAATGTGCAATCAAGTGAAGGGAAGGAGGAAAAATGTGCGCAAAGGGGTGAAATGTCTGGTTATAGTATTCCAACAGTACTATATGAGATGAAATTCAAAGTACTAGTGTACTATACTACCAGAGAATTAATAGCAATCCTAATGCAACTGGTTAGAATAGAAAGAGTTATTTGCTTAGTGACGGGGGCCAAAACTTACATGGGAGGAAGGGAGGGAGTAAATAAAAATGATTTTATAAAATTAAAATTTAAAAAGAAACACAATATATACAGTAAAAAAAGAGTGAAAAAAGAGATTTTAAATTTTTTTTTTTTTTTTTTTTAAAGCATAAGGTATAAGTAAAAAAGAGTGAAAAAAGAGATTTCATGTCACAACAAAAAAACATAATACTAAGGATGTTTAGACAAGACTATTGGGAATCTGTCACTTGAGAGTGTAAACAATCATGTAGCACGGGATACGAATACGATATGATACGAATACGTTGACACGTCAAATTTTTAAAAAAATAGAACATGAGTAAGGCGTGGACACGGCTACATATAAATATATATATTTTTATATACATCTATTTAGTAATAATATTATAAAACTTTAATTCATTTATAATTTTTATACTAAGAATTGCTCTAAAATAAATTAGAAAATGAAATTATGTCATTATTGTAATGATTTTTATATTATATATATCAATATTTTATTATTTTGTCATGATAGTATTC